TAATTTTTTGGGGATTTTTAGAAAAAAAATTTGGGGGATTTATTTTTGGGTTTTGGGAATTTATTTTTGTTTTTTTGGAATTTTTTTCAATTTTTTCTGGGATTTATTTTTATTTTTTGGGGTTTTATTTTTTTGGGAGATTTATTCTTATTTTTTTTGGATTTATTTTTAATTTGGGGGGGGATTTATTTTTATATTTTTGGGGGCTTACTTTTGGAATTTTTTTAAAATTTTTTTGGGAATTAATTTTTATTTTTTGGGGATTTATTTTTATATTTTTGGGATTTTTTTTTTTAACATTGAGGGAACTCCAGCAGCGAGCGGGAGGCGTCTGGGGGGGGCGAGGGGTCAAAAGGGGCCCCAAAATCTTTAGGAGGGGGTGGGGGTTGTTGGGGGGAAGCCGAAAAAATTTTGGGGGTTTTTAAAATGATTTTTTCGGGATTTTTTAAAATACATTTGAGATTTTTAAAAATTTTTTTTGGGAATTATTTTGATTTTTTGGGGACTTTTTTTGATTTTTTTGGAGGATTTTTTTCTGATTTTTTTGGGGGGATTTTTTTTTTCTTTCCTTTTTTTTTGGGACTTTTTAAAAAAAATTTTTTGGGGAATTCGTTTTTTTTATTTTTTGGAGTGATTTTCTTTGTTTTTTAGGGATTCATTTCCCTTAGAAAAATTTTTTAAAATTGTTTTTTTGGGGATTTTTTTTTGTTTATTTGTTTCTGTGGGTTTTTTGTGGTTTGGCTTTTTTTGTTTGTTTTTTGTTTTTTGGGGTTTTTTGGGACTTTTTTTGGAATTTTTTTTGTTTTTGTGGGATTTTTTTTGTTTTGTTTTGGGTTTTTTTTTTTTTTGTTTGTTTGTTTGGTTCTTTTGGGGGGGACTTTTTAAATTTTTTGGGGATTCTTTTTGCTATTTTGGGATGTTTTGGGGAGCACTCACCCAGGAACTGCTGGTACTGCTGCACCTGCGCGCTGATGTCGGGGACCCCGGGGGGGGCGGGGCCCGAGGAGACCCCGTTGGTGACCCCTCCCCCCTCCACCTTCTGCACCGGCTTCAGCCTGGGGGGGAGGGGAAATGAGGGGAGGGGGCTGGA